GACCTACGAAAATGAACAAAAACAGAATTTATAACTAATAATGCACTTTTAGCTCATTTTCATTCCAACCAAGGTAAAATCTAAGAAAACACAAAAAGGAAGTAAAAAGCTATAAAATGTCAAGAACTAACTCAAAATAGTGGGTGAATAACATGAAAAATCATGTATAAAAATGAACCGAACATTTTTCTGTCATCCTGGAGCTTCTCTAAGCCCAATTTCGCCTTCGACCCAAGTAACTCAGATGGTTGCCCGTCATCATCAAACTCATCACCATCCATCACTGATGCCTTGATAAAATCAATCTGATCCTCAAATACAAATTGATACTCATCAGATATTTGTTTTTTGTTTTTTGAGCCAAATTTCAGCGTTGCTTTTCCAATTTGATGATCCTCCCAAGCTTCCTGTTCTGCAAATGGGTTCATTTTATCCCCAGCACTGAGGTCCCTGTATCGTTGCACAGCCACAGAAAATCTCTTTTCCTGATTAACACCACCCTCCTCATCGTACGCATCTGGCATCCTGTACTCAGTGGTATCCTCAACCTCATCTGACCTCTTCTTCACCAGCTCGTATATTTGTTTCTTGTAGCTTAGTTCACTATATTCTGCTTCAGTGAGCTTCACGCCATCAAATAAGTATTGCTCATCCTCTATATCGTCTCTGATTTCCTCCAATTTCTTTTGCTCCCTCTTTTTGAGATATTCTTGTCTTGAGACTTTTCTTAAATCTTCGAGGTCATTCCGCTCCAATGCATTGCTTCTCCGAATAGCCTCCTCTTCTTCCTTTCGTGTTAATTTTCTCTCCGTTAACTTTCTTGTAGCTGCTGTATCCCGTTCCCTTATATTCTGCTCCAATTGCTCCCTCTCTCTTTGATCACGCAATCTTTCCTCTTCTGACTCTGAACCATCATCGTCATCTGGGGAATAAGTTCGTCTTTTAACTCGTCTCACTTGTCCCTCTTGTGCAATCACCTCATCATCTTCATCTTCTTGACTCAAGACCTTCTTCCTGAATCGTTTCTTACGGGAATCAGCTTTCCTGGACTTGGAAACAACCTGGACAGAAGATGAATCGCCATCATTGTCATCTTCGTCATCTGCATCCAAGAGAGAATATGTCTTCTGCTTCTTCACCAACATGGCAGCTTCCCTCTCTTGTTTCTGATATAGATTCAAACCAGATTCTTTACGGGGCACTCTTGCGAAGATGTCTTCAGCAAATGCACTTGTTTCAGCGGAAGATGACAACCCAAATTCTAATTCTACAAGCTTGCCCACAACATCAGCCGGTGATTTTGCCTGTTTGGTTAATCCAATAATGTACTGAACAACAGTGGGCTGAGAATATCCGAGCAACGTCATCAACTTATCGGATACCCAAGTATTCAGATTGCTCTCGCTCCCCATTTTTTATTTTGTTTGGCTGAGAGAGAAAGGGATTGATTGGTCTTCCAAAAGAAAGGCTCTGTGTGAGCTTCGAGCTTCGTGTGGACAGTGCGGCAAATTCCGAAACCACTGTAAACGGCCGGAGTTGACAGTTCGCCGTGCGTTCAATACACGGGGGCGACACGGGAAAGAGAGAAAGGAAAGTTTAAGAGATTGGATCGGAGGAGAGGAGAGAGAGAAATATATAGGACGGGCTTTCCTTACTTTTTACATTCCGTGAAAGAAGAGGAATTGAGACAATCTATTTTGAAAAAGGAGTCCAAATCCAAAACATCAATACAATAGGATGAGCCAAACATACCTAATTTTATGAAAGTTGTTCAATGCATCAGCAACCCATTGAAGAGCAGCCCAGCAATCTTCATAAGCAATTGGAAGTGGGTTCTCTGGAGCAACTTGGTGGTCGAAACAGGCAGATTTACATAAACCAACTTGGGCGGCTCAAAGTGTTAGGGTTAGGATGAAACCGACGTGCATTCCAAACAGGCAGATTTAGGAATTGGATTTCTCCTCTCCTTATCCGGTTTCCCATCCCCACATAATATAAAATGTTGAGCCGTGTTGACCCAGGATTTCAGTTCTCACCCAATTTCTCTTATTCTCTCCTCAAACTCTAACCCCAACCTCCCCAACCTTCAACCCGCTCTTCCTTGTCTTGCCACCACCGGGGTGCTGTCCGCCGTACACCACCCTCGTCTTTAAAAAATATCAGAACCCATGGATGTGGATAATGCAGTTCCAAGTAGAAGTGTCAATCGAACAGGGCCGGCTCGAGCACGGCACGATAGCCCGCTTAAATAAAACTCGGCACGACAGAGTCCGTATTTTCAATTAAGTTCAATAGGTCGGCCGGTCTGTGGTCCATTACGGACCGATCCGTTTAAGGTTCATTTATTAAATTAAATATATTTTAAAGAAAAATAATTAATAATAATATTATATTTATATTTTAAATTTTATATTATTGGAAAGAAAATGTAGTTGTGTAAATTATTGGAAAGAAAATGTTGCGTTGTGCTTGGACATACGATACGAGTACATTCAATTGTCAAGACAGCCAAATGATACACAGAAATGTCTCCAAATATTATAATAGGCCGAGATCTCCAATTGGAGAAAGACTTACAGGAATAACACTATTTTGCTATCCAAGCCTATAATGCTATGACACGCTAAACAATACTTTCATGTGGCATAACATTATTGACTGAAAATGATAAAATAATGTTATCCTCATTGCACATAAGTTTTTATCCTCCAGTTGGCAATCCAAACAAAGACTTGGCAGTTAAAATCTGTGAAATCACCATTAGAGCAAGTCATTGTAGTTACGCCGGCTGATTTCCATGTGATTTACTAACGAGAATCGGAAATCCAGTTTTACAAATAGATAGTTTAATGAGTATTACAACTTACAACTATACATACATTTTTACTTCATTTAAACTTGAAAACTAGGAGATATTTCATCAGCAGGTTTCCAAAATCCATCGTCTCTTCAACCTCCATAAATACCACTTCCAAATTTAATCTGCACTTGAAAACTATTTAGCACTCTTAACTTCCACAGGCCATGCAATCTTCCCGGTTTGTCAGAGAGCATACCATCTGTGCCTTTTGTGTACTAACATCATCTACCACTTCTGGCTTTTCCTGTATTCCCAAGCAAGAGTTATTAATACATATTCTTATTTTTCAGTTCTAAGACATGTATAGTTGATAGTAAACGATATTGAAAATTACTTGGAGAATGGAGGTATCAACAGTAAACTTTATCGCATCGGCTGCTGCACGAGATCGTAGATAATACATCCCTGTTTTGAGACCCTGATATAGTTCATAGAAAAGAAAGAAATTAGAATGCGCTGAGAAAATAATTTATAATTTCACATAATACACAATGAAAAAGCCTGCACCAGATCCATTTTCAACATAGCCAAAAATCAGCATTTATATGCAAAGTAATCGTTGCAACCAATTCAATGTCACCAAGAAAGGGCACCTCTAATATTTACAATGAACAAAACAGCTCCAGCCAAAATTGTTTCTATACATTCAGTCAAAAAGATAACAAGACACCCTTCAACCCATGACATAGCAGATCATAGGCCAAAATGAGACACATTCCTGTACCGACCATCAAATACAAGAAAACATTTTGAAAGTCCAACCATAAAACAAACACATATACCTAATGATGCGCACTGCCACATCGCTATATCACAGGCAGAACAAATACATCAGAACTTCGGAAATTTACTATGAAGCTAGAATCAATTTGTGCATCTAAATCCCAAAGTACTATGGTACCATTACAGGGAAAAATAGTGCATACCTTTGACCAAGCATAGAAGTGCAATGAAGTCAGCTTCCCAAAGTTGGGTTGGTCCATATGTATATTAAGACTTTGACTCTGGTCTATGTAAGATCCCCTATCAACAGCCATATCAACCAAAGTCCTTTGCTTGATCTCCCAAACAGTCCTGATTCCAGCAAAATGTCTAAGCATATTGTAGATAGACAAACAAGCTAATTTACAAAGAAATTTAGGACATGACAAGTCCATACCTGTAAATGACCTTCAGGTCATCTGGGATTTCTGGGATTTTCTGAACAGAGCCATCCTCATAGATTATATTATTCTTAATTGCAGGAGACCAAAGACCCATCTCAGTCAAGTCATGAAGAAGATGTTTATTCACCACAACAAACTCACCACTGAGAGACGGGGGCAAAACAGAAGCCTTATACAATCAAAATGAAGTAATTTAAAAAAAATTAAAAATAAATTAACAATCAACAATTGTGAGTTTAAGCACAACAATAGGGCCTCACCTTCTCCCTAACATATCGCGGTAGAGCAATTGATGCCAGGTTGCACACAGCAGTCTCTGTTGGACTTGTATACTCAATTATCTCAGTACACAAATTTGAGGATTTTATGGTTCCCAGATTTTGCTGATTACTCTTCCTATTGCAAGTATCCTGAAAAGAAAACAATTACACAAAGAAGATCAAAACATTACAGAAACAAAAGCACATGGATTCAAGGCTGAGAATCAGATTTTAATAAATAAATCACCTTAAAGAGCATATAGGGAGTTCCGGTTTCTATCTGGGATTTCAAAATTTCAAACCACAGTTGCTGTGCCTGGACAACCTTTTTGGCCTTGCCCTGTGCAGAAGTATCATGAGTAAATAAATCCCAGTGGTAAGTAGCGGATCCAGGAATTTTTCTTTTAGAGGTCAACATGTAAAAGCTCACAAATTTTTTTATACAAAAAAGACCCATAAAAAGATGTATAAAATCAACACTAATTTACTATTTGCAAATCGGACTTATCTTTCCCTACTAGAGCACATAAAAAAAGAACATACTTTAAAATAGGCACATAATTAATTTATGTAATAATTGTTTGTGCAGCTAGTTAAGATTATTATGTCTTGCTTCTAAAACATAATCAAAGGTTTATCATCCAGTGTTAGACATTCATTTCAAGAAATTAACAAGAATATCAAAATCACAGCACAAACACTCATGTTGAACACAAAATATTAAGGTTCAAGACAAGAACCAATGAAACAGAGCATCTTCATCATGATCCCATTCAACAGAAACCAACACTTCAGCACTGCTGAAAAATAAAAGCTTTTCAAATCGATTTTTTTTTTCTTTTACAGGAAACATCATTGAGAAAGAAATAGTACCACAAAAAAATGGACACTGTACTAAAACATCAACCTACATATATAATAACCTTAAATACATCATAACACCAGCAAAGTGATTTGGGTGGGTAGAATTACCGTTGGGGAATTGGGAGGCTTTGGGGAAAGTATGCTTTGAAATAGATTTTCGGGGCTATCAGGCCACAGCTGGCCCTCTAATCCCTTTTCTTTTCTTTCAAATTTGGGGGTTATCGGGCCACAGCTGGCCCTCTAATCCCTTTTTTTTTTTTCTTTCACCTATGTCATTTTGCCCTGATAACTTGAAAAAATAAGACACATGCAAGGTGATGCTGCTGCACAAGCTGCTACCCAGCCTTCTTTGGGGCAATAAATCAAACAGATGGTGGGCATGACTTGCCCAGCCATCCACCACGTGCAGTGGTCAATATGTTTTACTCCAGGTGGTGCTTCTGGAGTTGGGGGGGTTCACTTGACCACCCTTGCTAGGATGAAAAGAGCACATATAAAGTTACCAATGTCTTGCCAAAGGAAATTTTGGTATACCTCTCTTTCATATCGGGTGTATAGCTCTTCAAAATTTTCACCCCAGCAATCTGCCAAACCTGGAGACTCATTAGGACAAAACAATGACCAATCGCCACCATTTTGAACTCTTTCCATGAAAAGATCAGGCACCCAAAGTGCATAAAAAAGATCACGAGCTCGATGCTCTTCCTGTGAGATAATAAATTAGACATGATCAATATTAACTAACATAATGAAACAAACATAACTACTACGCACAATAGAAGAGCAATTCTGGATAGACATACCTTCCCATGATTTTTTCTTAGATCCAAAAATTCAAATACATCAGCATGCCAGGGCTCCAAGTACACAGCAAAAGCACCTAGAAGTATCAGTTACAGTGTTCAATTTTAAGGCTCACTTCAAACATATAATATAAAACCCCCATATAATGATGACCATACCTTTCCTTTTGCCTCC